GATAGGTATCAGCGAAGAATCAAGAGTCAACACAAATAAAATAAATACACTACTTCCAGAAATAATAGGAGAAAACTTTCCAAACGTAGGAAAAAGATCCGGCATACAGCTAAGTGAGCCATATAGAACTCCAACTAGCCATAACCAAAGTAAATCTGCACCCAGACATATAATAATCAAGGTCCCAGAATTTCAGCACAAAAACAGAATATTAAAAGCTGTCAGAGAAAAAAACCAGATACTTATAAAAGAAAACTCATCAGAATAATGACAGACTTCTCAACATGAACCATCAAATCAAGAAGAGTTTGAGTGACATCTTCCAAGTCCTGAAAGAAAAAAACTTCCAACCTATTGATGTACCTTGAAAAACTATCTTTCCAAATTAATGGCAAAATAAGATACTTGCATAATAAAGAACAAATGAAGGAATTCATGACCCCCAAACCAACACAACAGAGAATGCTGAAGAATATTTTAGAGAGAGATAAAGATGATCAAGGTTCCAGGAATATCAGCAGAGAATGATTGCCAAATAGGCAATTTAATGAAGGGGTAAAATTGAGGGCCAACAGCAGGATGATAGCATGCCAGAGACAAACCAATGTATGCTGGTTGTAACCATTAATGTAAGTATCCTCAACCCAGCAATACAAAGAACCACAGGGAGAGTGGATCAAGAAACAAGATTCATAAATGTACTGTATATAAGAAACACATTTAACTCAAAAGGAATTTCATAGACTGAAAATCAAAAGGAAGAGAACAATTGTTCCATGAGACGGGAGATCAGAACAAAAGCAAGGGTAACTTGCCCATCCATTACAGAATAGATAGGAAAGATACAATATTTTCATACAATGGAAAGCTACCCAGCTAAAAGTAGGACAAACTCAAGGTTCTTGTAGGTAAATGCACACCACTCCAGGTCATTTTCATGTGTGAAACAGTTTGAACTCATAAAAGTGAAAACTAGCATAAGAAACAGAAGGAGTTAGTAGGATCCAAAAATGAAATAGATATTTTAAAAATGATAGTGGAGGAAACGTCTTGAAGAAGAAGGTGGAAACCAATGTTAACTTCTTATTTTCTTGTCTTGAATTCTTGTAATGTTTTCACAATTTTGTTAGTTTTCATTCTGTTGTACTTTGTTTTCTTAGATTTTTACTATGTATGATGGTACGGGCAGCTATTTTGAAAACAATGGAACGCATTGTGGAAACCATGATTGGTTTCCTATTGTCTTGTTTTGAAGTTCAATAATGCTTTCATTCTCTTGTTTAATTTTTGTTTGATTTTGTTTAATCTTATTGTTTGTGATGGTATGAATAGCTATTATGAAGAAAACAAGACATCATAGTAACCACTGTTAATTTCCTGTTATCTGGCTTTTGAAATCCTGTGCTGCTTTCATTCTTGTGTTTTGATTGGTTGTATACTATTTGATTTGTTTGATTGCATTTCATGTGAATGTATGTGAAATTTATATCAAAGAGAACAAGAGGCTTTATGGTAAAAGTTGCTTTGCAGCTTCACTGGCCCTTCCTCAATAGCCAGGGGTGCTTGACGTCGAGGCTGCTTCTCTCAGCCTGTGTGTCCACACTGGGGCTCCTGCAATGGTACCAGGCATAGAAGGGTGTGTTTGTCTGAATCTTCTGGTGTGTGATGGCTTACCGAAGAAAGCAAGGGCCTCCTATGGTTGCTTGTGGGTGGGATGCATGTGGTTAACCTGGCAGCTCACCATTCTGACATTTTCCAAGATATTTTAGAAATTTTCAACTTCCTCCATTGTTAATTCATTGAGCCAGTGATTATGAGTAGTAATCTCCAGTTGCATGAATGATTTTCAATAAATTCTTTGCCAATGATGTCTAGTTTCAGTGCTGAATGTTTTGATAACATACATAGGTTTTTTTCAATTATTTTGTATTTCTCAATTATTCTTTATAGTCTAAGATGTGATTTATGTCAGAAAAACTTATTTGTCCTGCTGCAAAAAGTATGGGTTCTGTTGTTGCATTAAACACTCTGTGGGTACCTGTCAAGTCCATTTTCTTGAATTGCTGAATTCAACTCATTTTATTGTTGGAATTTTTGATTCCCACTAGAATTTGTTTCACAAAGTAAAGTATCCAAGTGTTTGGTGTATATACTTCTACAGATGTTTTCTCATCCTTTTTACGTGTTCCTTTTACCAGTAATAATTGAACTTAGTATCTTCTGCGCAATTTTTATGTCAACTTAGTCTCAGTTTAGGAGAGCTATACCTTGTACTTGTAGGCTTCTATTACATTTTTTTCAGTTTTGTCTACACTCATTTCTTGTTTGTTTTTTGGGGGAGATTATTTTGTGGATAAGATATATCCCTTCTATATAAGTAATAGATAATGATTATTTTTATGTCTAGTACACCAGCCTTTTTTTTTTTGACTGGGGATTGAAGAATATTTCCCTTAAGAGATATGAATGCATGACTTTTACTAAATTTTCTCATTCTATTATTTTTCCATTGCTGATCTCTTTTAGCTTTCCTTTTTTAAAACTACTCTGTCATTTGATGCATTATATCCTTCATGACTCTTGCTGATGCTTGCTTATCACTGACTAGGATTCTTGTATTTTCCACAATACTAGTTTTCTGTTCCTAAATTGTTAGATACTCTATCTCATGTAAAATATTTGTTTCTCCATCGATTTTTAAAGATGGAATTGGAAGATCTACTAATCTTCCCTGGAAAGTGTTTTCTTTAATGCTTGAACTAATTCACACCAAACTCATTTGGACTTTAAGGTTATTATTGAGAAAATGTATTATTATTCTTATTAGCTAACCTTTATGTTATTTGATGTTTTACATTACAGCTTTCCTATATACTACTTTGATGAATTTCTGTGAATTTTATGATATGGCATTAGGAATTTGCTTTGTGATCTTGAATAAATTGGAGTTCTACATGTGTCTACTTCAGCTGTTTGCTCACATTTAAAAACTTTTTTTGCTATGAATTTGTGGAACAGAGGGGAATAAAAAACAAAACATACTCACACTTCAATAAACTTTAGAGTCTTCTAGGCCTCAATTTCTGCAGTCACAATTCCCCTACATTCAAAAATGAGGAAATTTTTGTTTGTTAAATCTGTTGGTGGCTGAGTTTCTGTCCTCTGTTGAAGGGTCCAGGAACTTCAATGTATTTTTGGGTCTTGCGTGTTCATACAATTTGCTCTCTTTTCTGCCACTGTGTGAAGAGCCTGAGGTTCTGAATTGTCTTGGGAGCCTACTTCTCACATTCTCTCCACTAAATGCTCTCTTGGCTCTGCTTATGCTTCTGTGAACATGGCTGACTAGCTAAAGCCTTTTGCTTCTGTTCTATGAGTGGATATCTCCAAGGGTGTCAACAGGGGTAGAATGTTGCTGGTCAAATCCCAGTCTTCCACAAGTTTCTACAAATGACTCCTCAATCTATATTGTATTATGACTTTGAAAATTCCTGCATTTGATTATATTTGCTCTTTCTGTTCTGTTCTGTTCTGTTCTGTTCTGTTCTGTTCTGGGTAAACATACTGCACAATATTTTGTGGTTTTGCTGCTCTTCTCTGGCTATCCACTGGAGCCAAACTCTGCCTGAATTTCACAAAGAATCACTATCATTTCTCAGATTCAGTGGTTTCCAGGGATTGAAAAACATAGCATCTCTTTTGTTGGGATTTCCATTATAAGAAGCATCTTGTACTGTAATAGAATAGCAGAAACACACAGGATTTTGTACTGGTGCAAAGTGTGCAGGTATATGGGTGTACAATTAGAGGTGTTTGCCTCCTTTTTGTATAACAATATGCACAGCTGATCTGAATCTCTTATATCACTGACATAGGTCTCTCTTGAAGTCTATTTTAGGGCCATTAAATGTGTCTACACATTTGTTTCAGGGCTGACTGTTCTCAACCTGGCAACTGTTTTCTGACTCTTGATTTCTTTGCATCTTGTTCTGCAAATATCTATCTGCTTGACTATTTCTCCTGGGGAAGATGGAGATCAAAAATATGAGCCATGAAAGAGAGCTGCCTAGAAATGCAGTAACCACAGTGGACCAGTTGTCAACATGGATCTCATCATCTTCCCTTTTGGGTCGGAGGCTCTCTTTGTAGTCTGATTTTATCAGGTTATGGCAGTGCCAGCTCACCCTCACTGAGGGATGGCCCCTGATGCTGGAAAAAGGGAGGGTATTCCTCTTTCATGTTGTCTTTCCATAGTTGAGCCTTTGTCAGCCCACAACACATTTCCACATACCAGTGCCTCCACATGTGACTTGTTAGTTTTTCTAGTCAGTTGTGATGGAATTATACCCAGTTTGATTTTTGATGTCATATTTAAATATTGGCATCAAAGAAAGGAACCACTGGCAAAGACTACATAAAAATAGCCCAAGTTCCTGGTTTTATAAGGAAAAAGTAAGTCTTCCCCTTGAAGATTTTATAGAAAATAGAGGGAAAATATTTATATAACTGGTCTAAGCCCTGTAGTGCATGCATTCAAAACATTTCCAAGTTTAAGTGTTAAACTGTATTTGCTCCTGAAACTCTTATTTAAAGACAGAAAACTTGGGAACCATTGGAAAAATATAAGTTTGGAAGAATTTTACTTCACAGTTATTATTGAGAAATGTATTATTATTCTTATTAGTTATGTTTGTGTTATTTGATGCTTTACATTACAGCTTTTACTATATACTACTTCACTGAATTGGAATTTATGTAACATTAATGTCCAGTGTCTGTTTAGATGATTTTGGATGCAATATTTTCTCTTGAAAATGACTGACAATTTAGAAACCTTGTGACACTACAGTGCACCATAGGTTTTATTTGTTCTACTTCACTGGATTTCTGTACCAGACTTCCAACAGGAAATAAGGAGGAAAGACACTGATAAACTTTACCACTGGGTATCCCAGTTTCCTCTGTGATATCCACTTTATTGTTTTATGATGTGTCTCTTTCAGCTGCACCCCTTTCTGAGGAGCATCCAATTTACCAATCCTGCTGGGCACCATGTGAGTTTGGATAAGAAGATAAAATTGGATATAAAGTATGACATTCTCAACTTGTGGAATTTTCCAGAAGGCCTCAGATTGAAGGTGAAAGTAGGAGAATTTTCCCCTTATGCTATACATGGGCAACAATTGTCTCTATTTCAGGAGATGATACAATGGGCTACAGGACATACAGAGGTATGTGAAAATCAATCACAGTGCATTTCAGTAAATATAAACACCTAAAAGCTAACTACGTAATGCCTTTGTACTCATCATAAAATGGTCAAAAATGAACACTTATATCCCTTTTAATGGAGAGAATGCTCTTATTTAACTACTACTCTGATGAATGCGAAAGGAAACCATTCATATTATCATATATATTTGATATTAAATATATGTTAAGTTAGAAGTTATTCACAATCTATTTATGAAAGATTAAAAGAAAGGCTAAAATGTTACCAAATTGTATCTGACTTTCCCAGACACCCCACTCAGTATGCAGTGATAGTTGCAATCCTGGATTTCGGAAAAGTCCTCAGGAGGGAAAGGCTGCCTGCTGCTTTGATTGTACACCTTGTCCAGAGAATGAGATAACCAATGACACAGGTATGAGTGTGCCCTATGAGCAGCTCTCCTTTACATCTACTCATCCTCACAAAGATGAAGAAAACTTTTGAAGATGGGAAAAACTAATTCCTTTGTTATTTTACTTAGTGATTTATTTTCTGTCCCTAATACCATTGCCCCATGCACAATAAATCTTGTCTCCTTTGATATTTTTGTTGCCTTTCTCTGTTCTTAGCTTTTGTTTTCCTCAGTATGTACTCAGGGATGTGTGCCAAATGAGCTACATGTCTAGCAATCCTTATTTTTCTCTCTTGAGATTCCATCACCTTAAGTTGTTCAAGCTAGCCTCAAATTTATGACTCTCCTGCTATATCTTTTTAAACGGAACATTACAAGCATGCAACTCTGCACTTGGTTTCTTTGATTTCTTTTATATTCTTAAAGAAACCTCTTTACTCCACCCTACATTTTCTAATTTCCTTTACCGTCATGAAATGTAACCAAGGATGATTAGCCTCCAACACACTAATATGTTTTAAAAATACAATTAAGAGGGCTGGGGATTTAGCTCAGCGGCATAAGCGCCTGCCTTGCAAGCAGACAGTCCTGAGTTTGATCCCCGGTACAGAAAAAAAAAAAAAATACAATTAGGTGATGTACAAGAAAAGGATCAGGCATCTTTTTAGTTACTACCTAGATTTGTCTGACACAGAACTTGTGCACTGAGAGGTTGTCTTTGGCTTAAAAAGTAGATCTGACTTTGTAGTGCAGGTGCTCATGCTTTATATGAAATCAGCCATTAGCTCTTTTTCTCTGCACTCCTTGATTTCCTACAGGAATATTCATAAAGTCATGTAATATGTAATTTTGCTCAAAAACTAAATCAATCACATGGACATTGATTTGGAGAATTCATAAAGACGTCACAGCTTGATGGAGAATGCTATAGCTCCTTCACAGTACCATCTGTACTGTATCATAAGACTGAGATTGGGTTAAATCTCTATTATACTTAACAAAGTTAGCAAAACAAGGCATTCCTACGTTGTGTAATACTTCACATTTTGAAAATGAGACTCAATGTTTTTTAAAAATACACAGAGACTCTGACAACGAGATTTGAAAACTAGTACAAAATCAGTAACGGCAACTATTATGAAATATTTCTAAATATGATAAATGCAATATGGAAAATATCTGAATTTACGATAATAAACAAAGACATAGAAGAAGCACCTTTCTGTTGAATATTTTCTTCTTTTTTTGAGGTTGATATTTGTTTGGATTTCATACCATATTTAGCATATTTATAAAAACTTATTTTGCAGTGTACTGATAATGGCTATATAGCACACAATGTAGTTAAGTTAGATATATGTTCTTATCCTGATTGGACATGTAAGTGTTCTGTGTTCACAAACAGAGAACATGGTACTTACAACATTAATTGCTTCTTCTTTTGCATTGACAAATTTACTCCTCAGCAAAATGCACTTGATAGAGGAGATTAAAATGAAGGGCATAAAATGTTGATAATTAACTACATTACTTATCAAATCTTGCTTACTGAAGTTAAAAACTATATTTAAAGACACCTCTGTATTTTGTACTTGTTTTTATTGTGTATATTTCAATTCAGAAAGGCATAAACTTTTATTTTGAAAGTATTACTGACTATAAAAAGAAGATGATATTGAAGACATAGAAAATATAAGCTAGGAAGTAACAAAACTCAATTTGCAAGAAAATAATTATTTTCAAATGACTTGTGATTAAAAATGATAACTTTTTACTTTTTAAATTTTATTTTAGAGACAATCAAACTAAAAGAGAATGAAGCTAAGCAGACCAAGATAATGTAAATGATACAAAATTTCAAAGCAAGGCAATAGAAAACCAACAACAGTTAACAAATGCCTCTTGTTGTCCTCAAAATAGCTGTCCATTAACTCAGACATAGTACAATCCATCAAAATAGAAACACAGTAGCATCAGTAAAAGCAGAAAAATGAATGCAATATAGGGCTTCAAAGAAAAAAATAAATCCAAAATGGCCACCATAATATATCTAGCTATTGGGGCTGGGGATTTAACTCAGCGGCATAAGCACCTGCCTTGCAAGTGTGTGGTCAAGAGTTCGATCCCTGGTACTGATTTAAAAAAAAATGATGCCTCTAGCCATTCTTGAAATAGCTGCACATGCCCTGAGGTATAACAAAATCAAGCAAGATAAAACAGAATAAAACTCAACCAAATGAAACAGTGAGAATGACACAGGGTTTTGAAACAAAATAATAGAGAATTAACAATGGCCACCACCTACAGAAGCAGATCCCCTATATGTGCCACATTGTATATGGTATCCTCTGTATAGATGATCAGGTTATCAGCTTCTTACCAGCAAAATCAGTGAGACATTAGACACGACAGGCATTAAGTTGTATTTTATCACATTAGCTATCATCACAGCCTATGTTTCTCCAGATCAGCTTGACACTTAGAGAGAAGGGGAGAATATTAGTTTTCATGTCTCCCTGCCTGTTCGCTGCAAGGGACTGACATCTATCTGGCTAGCCCACAGTCAGCCTATGGATGGCACCAACTTACAGGGAGGTCTTAGTTTCTTGTTGACTTCTCACTCTACTCCCCCACAATAAAGCTACAACTTTCTTTACAAAGGAAGGCTTATTCTACCAGAAAGTAAATATTAGTGCTCATAACTTTTTTTTCTGGAACATAGGTAATGATCCAGATTTTTCAGTTAGTCAATGACTGCATAAATGCCCAACCCATCATTTAAAGAGGTTATGTTTAGATGAAGTTCTTTTAAAGTATTTTGTGAAAACAAAAATACATTATTTTGAACATGACAAATTATTGAGTGAATACCATAAACATACTTTCATTACACCATAATGAAGATAGGTAATATTACTTGAAAATGATTCCCCATGAAACTTTGTTTTACTTCTGCCTTTAAATACTTATAATTGGCTTAACAAATCCAGTGAACTACTTCACATGAGGGCAACAAACAACAAAGGAATACTTAACATGGATTTGATAATTTGCATTTCTACTAGATATGAAGAACTGCATGAAGTGTCCAGATCATCAGTATGCCAGCATTCAGAGAAATCAGTGCCTTCCAAAAGCTGTCACTTTTCTGGCTTATGAAGACTCCATGGGTATGACCCTGGCTGGCACAGCCTTGAGTCTCACTAGTCTCACAGCAGCTGTTCTTGTACTCTTTGTGAAGCACCAAGATACTCCCATTGTCAAGGCCAACAACCGGGCTCTCAGCTACACCCTGCTAATCTCCCTCATGTTCTGTTTCCTTTGTTCCTTGCTCTTCATTGGCTGTCCCAACACAATCAGCTGCATCCTGCAGCAGACCACATTTGGAGTTGTGTTTACTGTGTCTGTTTCCACTGTCTTGGCCAAAACCGTTACTGTGATGCTGGCATTTAAGTTCACTGTTCCAGGTAGCAGGATGAGGCAGTTGCTCGTGTCAGGAGCACCAAACTACATCATCCCCACCTGCACGCTTATTCAACTCACTATCTGTGGAGTCTGGATGGGGACAAGTCCTCCTTTCGTTGACACAAATGCACACTCTGAACATGGCCACATCATCATCGTGTGTAATAAAGGCTCCCTCACTGCCTTCTATTTTATCCTGGGATACCTGGGGTCCCTGTCCCTAATTAGCTTCATAGTGGCTTTCATGGCCAGGAACCTGCCTGACGCCTTCAATGAAGCCAAGTTCCTGACGTTCAGCATGCTGGTGTTCTGCAGTGTGTGGGTCACCTTCCTCCCCGTGTACCACAGCAGCAAGGGGAAGGTGATGGTAACTATGGAGGTCTTCTGCATCTTGGCTTCCAGTTCAGGGCTTCTAGGCTGTATATTTTTCCCAAAATGCTACATTATTTTGTTAAAACCAGAGAGAAATTCCCTGCATGAGTTTAGAAATCAAAGATATTCTGGGAGAAAGAATCCATTTTAAACTATAAACATGTATTTTTCTCTTTGAATAGTGACAGTTTCTGAAGAAATTACCCATTTTACAGTCAGATATCACAATGTGGTATTTATTTTAATGACAAGAGATTCTTATTTTTTCTGTTAACCTGTGTCACTTCTATTCGTCATAATCACATTTTAAATTTTAATTTTATTCTGAATTACTTATTTCATTAAATCACCACTCTATATTTTTATTTGTGCCCACGTTTTATATTATTAAATTTTTCCTTACCATTCTCTTCAATATCTCAATTATTTTTGGTAACCTTTAACACAATTTAATCTATCCATAAATAATGCTGGAGCTTCTAAGGAATTTAAATACTGCTTTGTTTTCTATTTAGAATGTTTGATGGCTTTTATATGCTTGTTATATAATCTTTGAATAACTGACTAAAATTTTGTGTTTCACATTTGCTTTTTGCTATAGTCCTGAAGCTACTTTTGCACATTTTCTCCACTATATGGATTCTAGAATTGCTGTAGCAAGTACTCTGAATTTAGGCAGTCTATTATCAAAATCACACATTAATTTTGGGATTAACATTTTATCTTGAAGCGAGATTTTCTATCCTGAATGGGTGTACCTTGTTTGTCATTCTCAATTAATCATCCTTTATTTGTGTCAGATCTGTGTGTACATATTCAATTCCTATTTTTGAATTAGTTAGACAGATCATGTCCAGCAGTGATTTACCATTTCATGCTGTGATTTTCCTGAATAGTTTTAGGATTTGTGAACAATATTTACAGGAAAAACAGTTCTCTAACCACTTGCTACAATAGCATCCTTTTTATTGGACCATGTTTGCTATCTGTGTGTCCATGTAAGTTCTGACTGTGTGTGCCCAACTTTGGAACAAGGTCACCCAACATCGTTGTACTCATTCAACATTAAATTACTTGCCAGAACTATTCATGGATGAAAGACTTTTTGCACCAAGGAATCTAGAAGGCAGCTGTGTTGTTTTTAATGCCAGCTGGCTGGGGGAAAATTAACAGTGTCCAAATCAGTGTCCAAGAAGTGTTGAGTGTATCTAAAAAAGATGTAGATAAACAAACAAATAGAAGAACATAAATTTAGGAAGTCATTGAAGTTGAAGATTAAACACATATGTGGTGGTAAATGAAGCTTCAGGTCAAGTTTAAATACAGTTTTCAATCAGATAGTGCAAGGTAGATAGCAGGTTATTACATGATTGGTTACATGAATTGCATTAAATCACATATAGAGAGTCAAATTAACTCTAAACAGATTTATATAGAAGAAATTGTCTACCATAATTTAGGAATATCCTAGGGACTAGGGCAAAGATTTTGAGTGGGGCAAGCAAGGTTAAAATTGTCATCAAAGCCAAGGTACCATAGTTTGGTGGTACTGCCTGCTAACCACATTGTTTCAGAGGTTCTGAACTCCATCCATCCAGACACAAGACCCCAACAACACACTACAAGGGTCCACTCTGGTTAGTTTCATAGAGAACCAAAGCTCTGTACAGCCCAGGTACCTAGCACAATCCATCAGAGTAATGCCAGGCCAACCACACAAGTCCCAGATGTATGAAAGTTTATCCAACCAAGAACACCAGAGCTGTCCTTCAGGGAGCAACCAGCCAAGATGGAGATTTTGATCTCTAATCATCACATAACAAGGTTCTGGAATTATAGTTTGGATGCAGACTCCAGATAGCCACATGGGTATCAGAGTATCAAATCTCTGCCCAGCCCAGCATCCTGGTGCAATCCATCAGAAGAGGGCCTGGTCAGCCAACCAAGTCCCAGAGAAAAATGACAAAATGAAAGAGCAAGATGCAGTCTCAGTCGTCCAGCACATGAACAATCTCAGGAGACACTGAAATGGAAGATGCTGGAAATCATACAAATGAGCTTTTTGAAATGATAGCAACTGTAGTAAAAAAAAAAAAAAAAAAAAAAAAAAACCTCTATGAAGTTATACAGGAAATCAGATTGGAAATAATCTCTCAGTTAAGAAAATAAATGGCGAACATTATGAAAGAAATTTTGAGTGTATCTAAAGAACATGTTAACAAACAAATAGAAGAACATAAATGTAGGGAGTCATTGGATTTGAAGATTAATCACATATTTGGGGCTAAATCCAGACAAGCCCTGAAGACACATAGAGCCCAAAACAAACTGTATAAACAAGCTGTTCCAGCTCCAAGAAGGTAAGGGGCCAAGGCCATGCCGGCAAACAAGTTGTTAGGCAGACGGGTTGAAATTGACATTAGTCTTTAGGAGAGTATGGAGAATATAAATAAACTTGCTTGAAAGTTAAAACAAACAATATATTTATTCCATTAGCTGTTTAACCATGGAACAAATATATTTAAAAGAATCACAAATGTATAAAAAAAAACTGCTGCATGCTTGATTCAAGTGTTAACATTCATTTTGTGGATTTGGACTGGACAAGATATTAATAATCATAACCTTCTTGAAACAAAAACAATGGAATTGGCTTGAGGCATTATTTTAAAATTAAGTCCTGAGCAGGAAAACAATGGTGTACTGACAGCCACCCCAGTAAAATTAACTGAGCCACAAACAGCCATCTCCACATTTTTATCTCAGAGAAGTTTTGCTGCATGACAAGTTAAAACTCTTCCTCTAAGGAAGTAGAGCTATCTTCTCTGTCTCCCTTGCAACTGACACTAAAAGAAGAAAGATGGGTGGGAGGTTATATTGGAGGGCTTTCAGCATGTCTACCCAGTTACCAAACTTCAAATCACCAATAGACTGAGTCAAATTATAACCATTCAAATCATCAGTTCTCAGCCTAAGGAAAGACTACAAACAAAGTCACTTGTTTTTGTTGTGGGGAGAAGGAATATTTTTCCAAAAGTTGTACTGCTACACCTGTGGGAGCAATGCAGTCACCATCTGTATCTTCAACAGAGTCTTCTACTATTTGTTGAAAGTGTAGATGACAGTGTCTTTGGGACACTCGATGTAAAGTCACTATTGACATTGAAGGTCATTCTGTTTCAGGAAAAAAATTCAAACAAGGTCTGTCACAGCCCTGCCAACAAATAGGGGTGCTGCATCTTGGAACGTTTCCCTGAGATGGTATAGCTCTGCTTAAATTGACAGCTTCTAATGGTTAGATGGGTAATGTGGTCCTGAGTTGCGATTTGCTGATTTCTGTTTACAAAATAATGTCAAAAAAGACAATTTCAAAACACCAATACAATGATAACCTGTAAAACTTCTAAAACTTCAATAATTCACTTTCATGAGCTGGTGTTAGGCTCCAGCATATCACTGTCTCATTATGGCTTTTTAGTGAGTGTTGGTTATCTGGTAGTGTAAATTCTCAAACTTGTTATTTATCAAAATTGTATTTGGGGAACTTGCTTCAAGTTTATGATTAGTGTAACACTACATTTATTTGGGTATTTTTTTGCTTTTATATAAATGTTTAGCTTTCAATACACTGACACTACTCTTGTTAAATTTCTTGTTATATTTGTTGGATTTGTTTATTTCCAGAAGAAGGAATTATAAATTTACATACTTGGGAGGAAATAGGAAAACAACTTAAAGCAAGGTTAGGAAAAAACAAACCATACAAACTTATCTGAACCTCTACAGACTTTAAAAGTGTTATTTAACAGGAAGAAACTGCTGCTTTCTACTCCTCTCATCACTTATCTCCAAGCAGAGGAGGAAGCCAGTGAACTCCACAGAGGCTGGAGGTGGGCCCATATGATGAAGAATGCCTGTTTGAGCTGCAAATGTGAAATAGTGATTCTAATATAATGTAATGTTGATAGACAGTATTGGTTCTGAAGGATTATTAAATCTGTTAAAATGTTGAAAATAAGCATGTCTTTGTAGCTAGAATCTGGTTTAAAGAAATACGTATTGTTGCCAAGTTGACAACAGTGGATTGGAACAGTTGATATATCATCTTGAAGTTTGGAAGTTTGGTTGAGTGAGTGGTGATGGGGTCCTCATTCTGTAAGCATACTTGTACTTTAACAGAGTAACACAGAAAAGTGGTGTGCCTGTGGCACCCATCCTAGGGGGAGATCCTGCTTACCACTTAGGGAAGAAAAGGAGGATTATGCTTCCCCTACTTTGCTCTTCTTAGTTTTGCTGTCTTCTACTGCCATGAGTTGTTAGTCCCTCGAACACTGTCCAACAGGCTTCTGTTTCCCATGCCTCCTTTCATCAAAATGCTTCTGCTTCATGAAAAAAAAATTCCATTTAACCTGAATGCAGGGTAAAAATTGTTAAAATTGTTCAAAATTTAATTACAAAAAAAGAAGAATTTTACCTAGATTTCATTGGGCAACATGTACTGTTAATGTTTTAAATCCCACTAAGGATGGAATTAGAGAAGCAGCAAGACAATTCAATCAGGTAAAATAAACAAGCTAGGAAGCATCCTTCAGAAAAATCTTCATACTAGACAAAGAAAAGGCCCAGTTCAGTGTCAGTTTGGGGTCAAGGGTATGCTTGTGTCTTTCCAGAAAATATTGAACAGCCCATCTGAGTGCCAGAGTGTGCAGTCTGGCTGTATCATGGACCTAAACCCAGAGAAAGAATTGATTCTATAGCTGAAGAATCCAATACTCAGTTTTATGAACGTGATGCCACGCAGACCATGGCTCAACCAATAGAAATGGATGAAGACAGAACAGCCTTAACTGACTCAGGGTGCCTGGGAGATGACAATCAAAAATAAAACTGAAGGTCTAAGTAGGTTATAGAAGTGTATGCTATGTCCTATGACAAAAAATATATATTAGATATAGATAAGATTTGATCCTTTTCAAGTTCTTTTTACAAGAAATCTCTGCTAACTGACCAGCAATGAATCTGACTGGTATACATATAGTTACAAATTATGCAAGTGTAAAAAATTAGTATGATTCAATTTGGTTATAATATATTTGATTGTACTCTGATTTTATTAGTTGATTGTCAGTCTGCCTGTGAATCTGTTTGCCT